TTTTTTTTTTTTTTTTTTTTTTAAGTGCTGGGAGGCTAGGGCTGGGTGGGGCAGCTGTGGGGGCTTCTCCCATGGCTCCCCCCACCCAAGGAGAGGTAGGCAGGGCTGGAGGGAGAACCTGCAGTCGCTCTGCTGTGCCTGCCTCTCCCCGGCCAATCCGAATTGCCGAATCAGCACCAAGTCTCCAAACCTGATTTGGCTGAATCAAATCGCTGTCCTCTGAATCAGCCAAATCCGAATCGAATATTTCCCTATTCGCACAGGCCTGTTAGCAAGGATTGCAGCACACAGCTCCAGCACAGCTCCCTGGCTCTATAGCACATACTGCATTGCTCAGTCTGAGCAGGCTGGTGGCCTGAGACCTGGCCCAGATTGAGTAGACATAGCTCTAGCTGTGGACTATACTTTCCTGATCAAAACCCCATGCAGGACAGTGTGTCTTCTGTGTACTTTACTGCAGTGTATCTCCTTGTGCCTTTAAATTCTAAGCTGTTTGGCTCAGGGATAGACTACTTGACTGGCATATTACCACCTTTGCAGTACTATATGAATTATCATAAACTTCATGCTTTGTGGCATAAAATGTTCACCAGCTGCAGTCGGGAAGAAAACCTTCCCTCCCCTTTTGGGTATAATGATGAACAAGCAGTCAGAGTACAATGGACTTGCACATCCCTCTGAAGCATTGGACACTGGCCTGTGTAAGACAGGATGTTGGAGCTGAAACAGTTTTGGCCTAGTAGGTCTTCTGGGCTTTTGTTACAGGGACTACACACTGGCTTCTGGAAAGGGGTGATTTATATTATTTGCTGTGGGCCATATTGAAAGCCTGTTGGTATAATATAGCTTCAGACAGCACGTTGCAAGGCAGTGCTTTGTTACAAGGTACTGAGAAAACACTGCCTAGTATCTGGTAACCATTTATCATTAATATTTGACATTGTAAAAAATTGCCCAGTGAACAGAAACAGAAGGTAGGTACTCTACGTCCGCAATAAATATCTTCAGGTAATAAGCAACTTGGTTACTTGCTTGTTTTGTAATAGAAAGCAGGTAGTAAAGACTCTGCTGGGTAACCTAAAAGCATCCAGTTTTGAGTGATAAGAGGTGGAGGATGATTTAAAGTCCTTTTTTGTTGGGAATAGCTGTTTCTACCTGGCCCCTTTCTTGGCATCTGGCTCAGCCATAATTGACAGGTTTCTACTCCCCTTGTTACCCCATGATGGGAATTATTTCGCTAACTGCAATTAACATTTCATGTAAAATTGTGAGCATTTGCTATGTTTTGGGGATGTCTCTTTGGTCTAGAGTTGGGCCACTTTCATTGCACAAAGACCTCTAAGTCCACAAAAGGGAGATGGCAAGAGACGTGAGTCTCACAAATGAGCAAGCTGTTTATAACTCTCAGCTTGCCACTGTGATGAGAAAGTATGGATGTGGGGGACCTGTGCACTTAGTGGAACTTAACAGTTATTCCTTTTGTGGTGTTCACACTGAAATACTGAGGAGATTTCAAATGTAGAGATTTTTCTATATGAGTTGGCATTATCTTGAGTATGAGCAGAAAAGCAGGTGGGAGGCATTATGGGTATGCTGCCAGCAGACTCGCCTGGAGTATATGTTAATATGACGCATACAAGGGCTGTTGTAATAAGTATGCTGCAAGTTGTGGGGAAAATATATTGTAACTCATGGGGCTGACCCTGCAGTTCCAGAATGGTGAATCACACCCATGAACTATAGAGAAGAACTGTCCAGGTGGAGCAATGTGCTGATTTACCTTTGGGCCCCACTGCTGGCAAGGTCTTGCTCTTGATCAAGTGTCATTGACTGAGACAGTTCTTTGGAAGGGTGCTGGACTGATGACCCTAGAGACTGGAGTGCTGCATCCATAAGACTCTGAGAGCAGTAAGCCACAACAAGAAAAGCTTCTGTTATTCTGCAAAGCTGCATCTGACCTAGAGGGGCTTCTGCAGATCTTTGGTTAAGTGAACCTGTGTCTCTACTGGAATGGTACCAAGGAGAGTACAGAGAGCCCATCAAGTGGAGAAAGCTCATAATGGTCATTCAAGGGACCTGCACCACTGGATTGCCTACTAGCAGTGCTTCTTTAGTTGAAGGGGAAATGAAAGAGAATTGAATGGTATTTCTTGAGGAGTTCTTGTAATGGCTTGTAGCCACTGGGCCTCAACCAGTCGCTCTCGTGCTGCTCTCTCTGGGGTGATTGATGTTATGCCCCTCACGCTTCTGTCTGAGTTGGTGACTTCCATTCGAATCCTTAACCCCGTGCTTGCCTGTCACAACTTGTTAACCTCAGTGTCTGGGGCCATTCATCAGGCGTGCTCATAGACCCAAGGTTCCTCCCGGTGGTTACTCACAGGGCTCCACCACTCCTACACCCCGGCCTCACGCCTCCTGTATAGCGGTGTCAGGCTGGTCGGCGTCTCGCTCCTGGGACCCTCGACCGGGTCCTACTCAGGCCCCAACACTGGGGTTTTTTGTTGTTCTCCCGCCCTGGCGGGGGGTCGGGCTAGAAGATCTACTAGGTCCCTTCCGACCCTTAATCTATGAATCTATGAATCTATGAATCTATCTAGCCTACATGTGGGTTCGCTACCCTCAGATACCCTTGGAGCTCGGGGAAGAACAAAATAAAAAAAAAAAGGAAAGAATGAAGCTCCAACACAAAACCGGGCTCACTGCCCCTTTAACTACCCCTCTCCCTTTCCGCGCTTCAGCAGGACACTGGCTGCCTCATTCCTTTTAGGCAATCAGTTCCCTGCCTACTCTAAGGCACCTCCTGGTCCAGCGGTGATGCTCTCTCCAACTGCAACCCTTCCTGGATTCCCCGCAGTCCCTCTCTCCCGGGGCGGATTTCTTCAGGTGTTCCTCCCGTCGTTCTTACGAGGTGATCTTGGCGTCCCTTCGTCGCCTTATCTGTAGCGTCACCAAGATGATCCTCTTCTTCCTTCTTGCTTCTGTCCCGGCCATTCCTGCTCCTCTGGTTCTGTGTATCAGCTCGTCTTTGCTGTGGGGCCATCTGTGACTGTGTTCTCTCCCTCCCTGCCAGCTCCGCAGTGTGCACCACCATTTTTATCCGTGCCGGCTGGCATTCAGCGCTGACGTCACTGGCCGGCCTCAGCTGGATAAACAGGCGGCTAATGAGCCGCGTGGGTTCTGCCTTCCGCCCCTCGCATGCTGCCTCCCAAGTCGCCGGTGAGTACTCTTTCGTGCCTCGTGTCCTGGGATACGGCTTTTTCTTATGAGGGAGGTAACGGCTCGTCCTGTGTAGCTGTTAAAACAGGCTTCCCTGTGCTGAGTAATTCCAGATTGTAGGAGATGCCAGCTTTTTTCGATGGGTTTATGGTTCCTGGGAACAATCCTTCCAACACAACAGGCTGTGAGGCAGACCTTCATGGGCATGTCCACACATGCAGGCACGTGCGCTGGCAGCAGCTCAAATAGAAGTGGCACAAATTTGTGCCAGAGATTTTTGCCTCGGCACACGTGCCTGAACATGCACTTTGGTGTGGGGTAAGTTATGCCACTTGGGCCAAAATGACTCTACCCAGCTCCTCCTGGATCTTCAGCCAGGGGGAGTTAGAGGCTGGAGCCAGCACATGTGCAAGCAGCTCAGGGCTACTTGCCCTCACAGGTTTTGAGGCCCATCCAGTTGTGACAGATGGATTGCTGAAGCAGCACAACCAGGAGTGAGTGGCCCCTGCACCCTCTACCCATTGCAGAAGTCTGGTAGTGGGGGGCTGGTGCCTGACTGTGATTTGCTGTGCACCTGCGACAACACCGCCCCTTGGACTTGTGACCCCATGGCTGTACACCTGCCAGACCTGGATGGGGACTGCAAGGCCACTTAGGCTGTGGTATGGGCACTGCAGAAGAGCACTGCACTGCTGGGCCAGCTGCCAGTAGCCCATGGCTGCACAGTTGGCTATCATGCAGCACTGCTGTCATGTCTTCTGGTGCCCCTGCTCTGCCATCTGGGCAACTATCACCCAGATGTGCTCCTTGCGGTGACCCATTTTGCACTGTCGCAGCATGTCCTCTTGGCCACAAATAGCCAAGAGGTCAGTCACCTTGTCTGCCCTCCAGCTGGTTCCCCAGTGCTGGTGCTGGACAGACTCCTCTGCCTAGGTCTTGTCAGTTGTCTCACCGGCAGAGATCCTGGTGTTCCCTGTTTAAAATTTGTAAAATGTTTGATAAGAACCCTGTCATGGGGGCACTTGGGTGCCCCGTTCCTGAGTAGAGATTAGGGCTGCTGCCAATCACCAGGGCAGCTCAGGTGTGGGTTGCTGGAGCAACCAGGTCAGCCATGTGACCGGAAGGGGGCAGAGCTGGGCCCTTATAAACAGCTAGGCCGGAGCCTGGTTGGGAGTTCCCTTCTGGCAGCCTGCGTGTAAGAGATCTGTGGGAGAGCTAGGCTGAGCAGTGCCGCTTGGCACATAGAGGGCTGCATTATGGTGCAGGCGGAGAGAATCCTGACCAG